AATGATGCTCGGGTGAATGAGAAATGAAGCTCAAAGTATGCCATGTGAAAAGAGTTTGTTGGAAAAACTAAAAAAGTTAAGGTTTGTCCCACATAGGAAGTAGATGAAATTTAAAACCACTTTATAAAGGATTACACTTCAGAGTGGTGTAATCATGTGTAGTATAGATGCACTCTCCACGTGCGCGCGCATGAGGGGTACAAATCTTGTGTGCAGGCGCAACCTGCGTACACGAATGTCGGACCGAAAGGAGCAAAATTGGCCCCTTAGGAGTGTCCACGTTTTGCTACATTTTTGTTAATTTTCACAGATTTTTGATTTTCCAAAACTCCTGAAACTCTTATATTAATTACCATTTGTTAATGGGCAGGTTACAAGAGTTAGCCTTTATATATGTCTCATTTTTTCACTGTCCATACACGAAAAAATTCATCTGCATATTCATATGCACACAGTTCTCGTTTCTCTACATTTTTCGTTTCTGTTCGAGTCTGGTGGTGATATATTTCAGACACAGAGTCAGTTCGCCGGAGTAGAGTCTGTTGTGCTCGAATTTTACTGGTTCATCCGTTGTATGTTGGGAAGCAGACGCTCGTACTATCCTCAAGCACGTACGGTGAGGGGGCGAATCTGTTTTAAGGAAACTGTGTTTGACACAGGCCTCGGGTTAAAAGTGTTATACTGTTTTATTTGTTCTTACTCGATTTTCATATTGTTAAATTACTTGTTATTTTTTGCTGCAATTAACAAATCGTTGGATTTGTTATATGTACAGTTTATTATACGATATCCAGTCTGTAAATCTGATATTCGATATTGAAACAATTATCCTACATTAACAAAGTGAACCCATAAAACATGTTTTACTTCAAGAAAAAATGGAGGGAAATGAAAAGAATCCTTCCATGAACAAGAAAAATAAAAAATTGAACCACGGAAATTCTGACAATTAAATTGCAAAAACAAAAATTTCGAATTCCAAGAGAGAAAATTCCATGAAGGGGTCAGGCTTTCTATGGACAGTAAGAGTGGCTCTGCAGATGTTGTTTTTACTGTTCTTCTGAAAGTAATTGGTGGGCTTATTACTAAAACAGTGTTGTTTTGAATTGGAGTGCAGAGTTGGAGAACTGATGGAACAAAGAGAATAAGAAACTTCTCTGACAGTCGTCATTCGTCAACGTTATCTTCTCCAAAAAAACCCGCACACACAGTGAACTGTGTAGTTGGAAGTTGGAACCTTGCACACTAGGAAAGAGTTGGGTCGGGTTGACCCAAGTCTGAATTTGGCCCACATGATCAACTCCGAGCAGAAGACAAAGATGAGTTGGGCCGAGTTTGGTTCCAAATCATTACACTTAATTCGAAAATGAAATGGATACAAATAGCACTATGGGGAGTTAATGAGTTTTTATTGCTCTATTTTGCACACTTCTAAATGCAATATGATTATAATTTTAAAAAAAATATATTGGTGATAATTTTTTTAAAAAAATATCTTGATAGATTCGATCATTATTTGAATTTTTTTTCCTACATATTTATTTCAAGTACATTCATACAATAAAATAATTTGCATGTAAATTCCAAATATTTTCCTACTTTTCAAACGCACATTCTCTTAAAAATCCACTATTCAAACCGTTGTTTTTCCCAAATAATAATTGTCAATCAGGGGCTCAATTTCTAAAAAAATTATATTCATCAAATAAAATAATAAAAATTGAAATACTAACATCAAAAAATTTCTTTCAATTAACGAACTATCAACATCCTTTCTTTTACTTTAGGGTCATGGTTATTGTGTTCGGATCATGACTAAACCTGGATTTTTGTGTTGTGTTTGCTACATTAAATTAAACTAGGTGCAAGCAACGTGCAATGCACGTTTGCTTAGTTTATATTAATATTTTTGTTTAATAATTAATTTGTTATTAATAAAGATGTAATTTTTTTTTGTTAATTAAGGGCGTGTCTGGGCGCGCTGCAAGGAGGAAGGAAAATTGATTATATTACCGTTTTTTTTTTTCAAACTTATAGCCCTACAGTGAGAGAATTGGTCCAAAATTGCGGCTCCCAACGGCATGAATTGTGTTGCCAACAACTTGATTTCTGCTGAAAAGCAGAAACAGACACCCTATAAATAATTAATAATGTAATGTTTATATAATTGATAAATAATTAGATGTGTGATTTTGATATTGTGATATAGATTGGTGAGATTGAAGAAAATAAGGGAGACAAATTTGGAGAAATTGCTAAATTGTAAGGGATCCAAAGTTCGGGGGCTAAAATGTAAATACTTAAAGGTTGTGCCGAATCTCACGATGAAGATTTGAGAGTGCTTGGAGTATGTCAAGGGGATCAAATTTAGTCAAAAGATGATCACAAATTAATTTCCAACTGAAAAATTATGCTCCGGTGTTTTAATCTCATATTGAGACCTATTTTTAGCATATGAAGTGATCGAATTGAAGAATGATGTCTGAATTAAAGTTATAACCAGATGAGTTAGCTTTCCAACGCATTTTGTATCGCCTCAATAGGATATCGGAATACAAAGTTATGATAAAAATATCGAAGGAAGGTGCAGCTGCCTATTTAAAACAAGAAATTCCGTTACATAGTCCGTTATATTGAAACCTATTTTTGACATATAAAGTGGTTGAATTGGAGAATAATGTTTGAACCAAAGTTGTAACCAAATGAGTTAG